CCCCAAAACCCCAAAACCCCAAAACCCCAATTTAGACAAGTTTCCCTGAAATTTAATATTTTTATTTGAGCTTTCTGCGGGAGGTTAGCACCAAGCTTTCAGGGATTTTCGTGGAAGACCCTTTAGTCAGGAGGAACGGTCTGATGTTCTTGGTAATCTGTTGAGGGAAAGGACCCATTCTGGAGAAATAAGGGCTAATTTTGGGCCTGGAAGATTTTGGTGAGATATCAAAGCTTTCTAGATGGGTGAGGGAGCAATTTACGAGCTTTATGAGGCTCCGGAGAGAGAGCTGGATCTGAAGAGATTCCTTGGAACTTATCATTATTTCCTGATTTCTGTTGTGCTCTATAAATTACAGATGATTCTATACTTAAGTTTGCTGATCTTCTCTTTCAACACATCAACAGAGTCTTGCTCTCTTCTTATTCTAGAGTCAAAACTCTTTTCTTTAGATCTCCCAAGTCTGTACCTTGGCTATGAATATATTCATATATCTTACGCTGCTATTTTTCTTGAAAAACGATCTTGTTTGGAGGATCTTTTGGCCATGAGTTTTCCTCTTAGGCGAGGTCATTATTTTATCATATCTTGGGTTTGCCTGACCAGCAAATCCTTTGCATATATTCCTGTAAAGAGTCTGCGATACTTTATTTATCTACAGTTTTGTTCGAAGGAATACCTATTTTGATCTTCTCTTCACACTGTCTTGATCAGTTGAGGGGGTCATTCTTCCTACCTACATGAATGACTAGGAGAAAGTACTTGAGAGATTAGCCCATTTATTTGGAAGTGTATCTGTTCCTGAGTAATCTCCTGTGCCTTCTTTTGTTGTCAGGACTAATCCATTGATCACTGGGCTTACCTTCTTTGTTTATCATTGAAGTTAAATTTAATTCAGCTTTTTCTAAATTTTAAGGATTTATGATACTTTAGTTCACTTCCATTTGCTATTTCTGATTCGTCAAGCAGACTATCTGGATCATCTTGGTGTTTCAGGATGGACTTCACTGGCTGAGCTTTGGACGTAAGCATATTGATAGGCATGCTAAGCATCTTCTCTGTGTTTTGTTTGAAAGCTTTTCCTCTAGTTTTGGGAGGTTCTGGATGTTTATTACCCCTTGAAGATGCCATAGCATCTCTAAAGCTCATTATTGATACCGTACCGTTTGGGCTCTACAGAGGTAAATATCTTGGCAAGAGCATTTTCTAAAGATAATATCAAGCTTTACTTCTCTTTGGTTCACTCTCAATAGCTTTTTGAAGCACAAACGGAAGCCTTTCCCACTCTTGTAATTTGTGTTTAAACTTTTTAGCATATCCGATATATTTCTTGAGTCCTCCTTCATTGCTATGAGGTTGTTAGGAAATTCCATCAAAAGAAGCTTTACTTTATGATTGCCTGAGCCAGTAAGGTCCAGCCATAATCATTAGAATTTTCATAATTTGGAGGCGGAATATCTAGTTCGTTCTGAATTGTAAAGAAGTTCTCTGAGCTAAATATAGTGATCATTCAATGAACAATTAAAATGCACCAAGAGATAAAGTACCCACAGGAGCTATTCTTACTCATATTTCATCATCTCTTTGACTTGGTCCTTCGGAATCCTCAATGTGCTATCTAGTCTACATCATGGGTGATGAAAGGGAGATTTGCTTACAGATATTTCTTTTCCCACGCTTTGCTAGACATTCTATAAAACTGTTAGAGCAGATTCTATTTATTCTTAGTCCAATCTCTGCATAAATTTGAGTGCAATAATGACTGTTAGTGGTAGTTAAAGATCATACATGTTTTTTGATGTTATACTCTACAAATAAAATAATTTCTCAAATATTTCAATAACAATAAGTTTAAAAGGGGTTTTGGGGTTTTGGGGTTTTGGGGTTTTGGGG